TTGAAGAAATGCCATTAATTCACTGAGTCACTTATTCAACTGTGGTGTTGACCATCTCTTCCTCTGTAAGATAGTGAAGCCCCACTCAGTGCACAGGGTTGGTATGAAGTTTCAGTGTGATTATATTATCTAGAAAGGCTCTGAAAGAGTACAGAGCATGAAGCAAATGTATGCTGGCATTTCTACTGAAAATAGGTTGAATTTTATGTGACTCCATAGAGTAATGAAGATATCATGCATGGAATTATATAGGATTTATAGTTTAGATGTAAAAGTGAAACTTGCCAATAACCAAGAGTCATTAGCAAAAATAATAAAGGAAACTCCTTTTTAGAGGACAGGCTGCATGCCCATTTCTTGGTTATACCTTATTTCCTCTCATCTATATACTAGTTTTTCCTGTTGGATTCACTAGTTCACATGGATTTTTTTGTCTCTTATATTACCTCATTCTTTTTTTTTTTTTTTTCAATTTTGTAGATGAGGAAACTGAAGTTCAGGGAATTAGGATGATTTCTGTAAATCTAACAGCTTCTATCTACCAATCCCCTCATATATCCAACCTTCTAATAGATGAAAGTATTATCTTAAAAAAAATCAAGATGGGATCATACATACCACTAGCTACTTTTATTATTTTATTTTATTTTTTTAATATTTATGTATTTATGAGAGACAGAGCATGAGCAGGGAAGGGGCAGAGGCAGAGGGAGACACAGAATCTGAAGCAGGCTCCAGGCTTTGAGCTGTCAGCACAGAGCCCAATTTGGGGCTCAAACTCATGAACCCGTGAGATCATGACCTGAGCTGAAGTTGGATGCTCAACTGACTGAATCACCTATGCGCCCCCATCTGGCTACTTTTAAATCAACTACCAAAGTTGTTACATGAAGGAAGTTCTCTGTTGGTCTACTCTTAAAGCCATCATTCTTTCAAAGTCACGCTCGCTGGAGAACAGAAAAGGAAGGGAGAATGCATGTGTTTTTCAAGCCTGTGGCAGAAAATACCTGGGACCTCAATGCGCCAACACTTAGGTATATGTTAGAGTCATGAGCTTTCTCACCTCTACATGAACAGGAGTGAGTAATCCTGAGCTGACTTTCTTTACTCTCACTTATATTTAATGAGTTCTGTTTTGCAGCAGCACTAACACACAAACAAATCCACTGGACTCTGAGGCTAGAGATAGTAGGCACTGCAAGTCAAAACAGAGCAGTTCCATGGGCACAGACCTTCTGGATTTAGGTCTTCTTTGTATGGCCTGAGCAGACATTTGGTATAGATGCTCACTCATATACTGACAACAGACACAGCAGGTAACAGTCCTGGGTAGATGATGATCTGTGGAATATTGGGAAGGAGATGATTCACAGAAAATTGGGAAGAACTGAGTTAGGAGAGGGAGAAATATGAACTACTGCCTTAAGTGACTTGCAAGTGAGAAGCAGTATTTTCATTTAATGTTGTTATACATAAAGACTTGAGCTTTTTTTTTTTTTTTTTTGGTCTGTACCAAAATAAGGATGGCCCAATGGCCCTTTACCCATCTACGAATGGGTGTCTATTTAAGATTGGCTCCTAAACAAGTACTCTTAACTTGTTGCAGTTTTGTGGATAAAGTGGCTATGAAACAAAGACACCAAAGGCAGTGTTCAGAGGAAATGTCTGTGTCTATCTCAAATACGAGGGTCCCTTCCAGTCATCACAAAAGAGAAGAGGTTGCCACCTTACATTTCCATCCTCACAAATCCTTTCATGTTATGGGGCATTCTCTGAATCCCTTTATTTTGAATGTCAGAGCACTGTTTAGGGTAAGTGACATTAGCTTGAAATTATCTCAATCAGTGCAAGTTTTAGATGCTCATAAAGCTTATCTGACACAATCGGTTAAAACATTTTTTTTTTATTAAAAAAAATTTTTTTAACGTTTATTTATTTTTGAGACAGAGAGAGACACAGAATGAATGGGGGAGGGGCAGAGAGAGAGGGAAACACAGAATCGGAAGCAGGCTCCAGGCTCTGAGCCATCAGCCCCGAGCCCGACGCGGGGCTCGAACTCGTGGACCGCGAGATTGCGACCCGAGCCGAAGTCGGACGCCCAACAGACTGAGCCACCCAGGCGCCCCTAAAATATTTTTTTTAAATAGCAAAACTACACAGATTTAGTAATAATTCTTGGGTATGACTTCCAAATTGAAGACCTGGACGTTATTGTAAAACTCACCTTAAAAGCAGCATAGTAAATAGCAGTATCATTAAGGTCACATACAAGGGCTTACAGGACAAATGAAGACACAGAAACATAAAGTGTCCAAATGTCCAGCAAAAATGTAATTGAGTCTCAAGATGAACTTTCGGTGAAAGCATCATCAAGGATTCAAAGAGTGATAAATCAAAACCAACCTGATTGAAGTGAAAGAATGTGCCTTGGAAAACCATGTCAGATGACATAGAAAGTGGCTCTAATGTTGATAAAAACCTGATGGCATAGTTGCATATGAAGAATTTGAATAAAATCTTCTTATATCATGTGAGAGTGGGGAAAAAGCAATACTTCTCAATTTTATATAACATGTGATTATGTAATGGGTACTACACATTTAATATAAAATATGATTTAAAATATAACACAATAGATTTAATATTCTAGTTGTTTTTTTTAATTTCATTAAAGTTGACCTAAAAATGTTTATTTGAACTGTCTCATTGTGAATTTGAATTGGTCACTGCACATTCAGAAGCATCATGTATTTGGTCACATGCATCATTTACGGCACCCTGACTTCACCTCAGTGTTGGCTTTAGCTTCTTATTAGCACTCTTCTCCTTTTGTGTCCTAGGCTCCAGGTGCAACATGCCCTGTGCCTGCCTGTGACCCCAGTCCCTCTGGCCAAGAGGAAACATATGACATCTATATCGGACTGAACTGCATATAGTTGTTATTCATTTGTGACTTTTAAGGCTTCTGGCACACTAGTAAGCAACCTAGTTTTCATGTCTTGTCTTCTTGTTGAGATTTTCTTAAAAGGATGTGAGGCCTTTACCACACACACGACATTAAACAACATCTATAAAGCCAGAACAATGGTTATAGCAAGAAACATATGGGAGCTTCAATCTTCGCTGGTTGAGGCTGACTCTGAATAATGAAAGAAATGATGAGAATGTCAACAACTAATGAGATACTTTGCCAATTCATTGATTGAAATTATGCAAGGTTTTTTTTAATCCTTGCAAAATCCTTTCCTAACAAAGGCTAAAACACTATCAATAGCAATTAGTAAGCCCTTAAAGTTTCCAATTTAATCTAACAGAGCTGTCTCATGAAACTCATTGGAAAACATTGCTTCTTCTGAGAGCTAGATTCACTGTGTTGATGTGGATTTAAAGCACTAATCCTAGAGGAATTCCATACTGTGCACAAAATCAATTTCACAAACATGCATTTGGGAAGCCTGACAGTCTTAATATTTTCAAATGGAAAAATTATCCTACATTTTGACTCTATTATCCTTCAAAAAACTTTTTTGGTAACCATCTTCTGTTGTTTTAGAAGCAATTAGGCCAATTAAGCCTGACAGCATGATTTCAAGAGAGATGCTGTGCAAGTCCCTATCCACAATGAGAATTCGCACTGAAGCAAGGAACAGCTGATACATGCAAAGAGATGCAATTCAGGAGTGCTATCTATAAACTCCTTGCCCTTGGGGAGGATAGAGTGGAGTAAAAGATAATGATGATGATTTTGGATTCCTGTTTAGTCCTTTTCAAAGGGAGGAAGGTGTTTCAAGAAGCAGTTCCCACCAGCTATTGATGAAGAGACTTGGTATATGGAGCAAGTCTGTGACTGTTGCATGAAAGGAAGAGAAAACCCACCAAAATTTCCTTTTTAGGTTACTATTCCAAAGAAAGATCCTCATCCCATAAAGTACAGAACTCTGAACAGAATAGTACTTATGGCAAAATATGTAATAAGGGGGTCTGTATTTTTATTTTGAAATCAATAAAAGTGTGGTTGATTTTATAAAGGCCCAAATTAAGTGTAATTGTGAAGTAAGTTCATTTTATGCCTGAATCATAACAGATAATACAGAAAAATATCCATACAATATTATGGTGAAGATATATTAACATGGTGATTGACAGTATTAGATTTTATTTGGGAAAACAGTATTGGGTTAAAACCATAGAGGACAGATAATTGTTTTTTGTTTTTTTTTTTAATTCTCATAGTTAGAAATATACTTGCTTTGAAAACTCACTAAACTCTCCACTGATCATGTTTTCAGCACTACTATTCATTCCTAAGTCTCTACCTGAAAAGACTGATGATATGCCTCAATTCCATGTTTCTTTGCTTCATTTGTTTTTTTCTATTGCTTAACAAGAATCAGGAGGAGGATGCACTGCTTCTATAAGGCAGATTCATTGGCTGTTGAACACTAAAAATAATGCCAGGGCTAACTGGGTGTGACTTATGGATCTGTGGTCCCAGATGTGAAGAGTGAAGCCACAGCTCCTCAGAAAAACTTGTTTTTCTTTAAAGACAGGCAATTTGACTCGTGATCATTCTTTGAAGCAATCTGCATTGGTACCTACCTCAGTTACAATAGCTAGGGGGCAAGTATTAGACAAAGATGACTCTTACATCCAAAACACATAAGAAATTGCATTATTAGCTTTTCTATAAATATGTAATAATGTTGGTTAATCCTAAATAGAAGAGGCAGTTTAGAAGATTATACTGCCAGACTTCTAGCTTAGGATAGAATTTTCCAAATTTAGCTGCTTTAGGATCACGTGGGAAACTTTCTAAGAATATAGCTTCCTGAGCCCCACCCCAAACCTTAGATCAAAATCTCTGCATTTTCAAAAAACTCCCTATCCTACATACTCTGGTGGTTTTGTGTCCCACAAAGCTTGAACGCTGCTGCTCTCAAGGGTAGTGCTGGAATGCCTTATGTTGCAAATCATTAATATTTTTTATGTCTATTACTTACGTGTAAACCTTAAGAACAAAGTCCTTTTCTTCCTTTAATTCTGTGAGCGACTGTAGAACATCCAGGATGCTTAGGACTGCACAGCCATATGGTCGCCGGTAGTGCAGGTGAGCAGGGCCTTTCTTTGAGTCATTCAGGAGCATCCGGCCTGGAGCACAGCAGGAAACACCAGTCACACTGAGAACTCCATGCTCCTTTCCAGTATCACCTGATTGTCATCCAAGGATACCAGAAATATAGGTGCTAGCTTAGAGATACACTAAATTGGAAGACTAATTTAGGATTGAAGGGAGCCATCCGAGGATGCAGAATCTGTATGTGGAGGAATGCCAAACAGGCCTTTGGCCAGGGCTCTTCCCTTGCACCACATTCAATAGATCATACTTATTATCTACCTTAATACCAACAATCCATTTATTAATAATATTAGAATGAAACCGTGGTTTTACAAATTTCTTAGAAAAACCAGTGTGTTAACAGACTTAAACTTCTTAGGCATATTAAGGATACAAAGTTTAATGTTTTAGCTGCCAGGTAAAAACTATGTATGCAAAGATAGTAACAACGTGTTATTCTTCCAACCAAACAACCATATGTTATTCTTCCAGCTGCTCCTGAACCACTGCTGGAGCCAAAGTAGTCTCAGAAAGTGAATGGGAGCTTGCCTCTCCTGCCTACCAAGGCTGTGCCTATAGTGGCAAGAGGACTTGCAAAAACCAAACTGGAACCTCAGCAAATGCTTATGAAGTACAGCAAAACAGAACCCAAAAGTATAGCAAAATAGGTGTTTTGTTGGCAAAGGATTAAAAAATATTCTTTGACAAAAATGTACAAGATATGCCAGAACCCAAACCTATCAAGGAAGACTTGGTTAGTCATACCCTCCAAATTATGTCATACACCTGAAATAAAGCTGAGCAAATCAACCATGGAAGAGTAGCAAAAATCACTGTTTTCATCTTGGGTGTGGTAAAAGTGATATACTATACATCTACTGCAGCAAGGACAGTAATTTACTGGAAAATAGCACAGATACATACTTTTGGATACAAAATCCAACAAAGGCCATTCACCACCAGTTAAGTTGGCAAGCCTGCAACCCGCTGTAAGATCTCTGAAATGGAAAGCTGGTACAAAGGCAGGGCATTGTGACAGAAAGAATATGAAAAATCAGACCCCTTGAAATAAAGAGCTTGGGTCCAAAACCAAGTAGGGAGCAGAAGATTTTAAGTGAAAAAAATACTTTCATTTATGTCAAATTCATAGCTACCAGAGCAGCTGAGCCTAAGGTAGAGTTCCAATACAAGCTAGATGCTCATCCTGAGACCTGACATTGTAGGTAAGAGCTAGGGAGATGATAGAGCTCAAACATAGTAGATACTTATCCCAAGGTGGACTGGTCTTAGTCATGTGAACGGATAAGGTCAACAGTACCTATTCGTATCACATGCGCAACTATATATAAATCTCTCTTCATATCTTTGCTGCTCAGATCCTAAAGAAAGAAAAGAAAGCAAGTAAATTAAGGTAATAAATACATAGAAAATAATAAAAATTCATTTTGAACCTCATAATCATTTGCCTTTGTTGCTTTTAGCAGATGTTATAGATGGGGAGGAGGACTAAAGCACATAGAGATTTAGTGTTTATAAGATTCCTGCAGTGAAAGTTTGAATATCTTATATGCCTCTGGGAGTTTGTCTTATTGATAATATTTTTCCAGCTTTTATTGAGAACACCCAACAAATATTTACAAGAGTTTTAACATTATAAATCATCTTGATATTGCCTTATCCATGTTTATTCTAATATCACATGAAAATATAACAAAAGGAGTGTTCAATGCAGGAAAAAAATGGGAAAACACCAATCAGCTTATTAATGACTAAAATTCTAAGTTTATTCTTTACTAATTTTTGTTTGTTCTTTTGTCCACAATGATTATTATACAGTAGATATGTTCCCTTGCGAAGAGACTAATTTAGCCTTAATGAAACCTCAATAATTGGATGTCCATTTCTAACTTCAGATATGCATCATCCATACTGAAGTATAATGCTGAAAATAATCTTATCTGGAAAATTCTAAGGACTTCCTATAAGTAAACAAATCTGATCCAGTCAGGAACTTATAAAATTAGAGTTATGAAAATGATTTTATACATTAAGTTATTTATGCTAAGAACACATTTTGAAATAAAAATTATCATTATAAAAATCATGATTATGTATTTATACTTCAATTGTACTTAAAGTAATAACACACTCTTTAATATATACTCTGTTTCAGACTTTTCACCAGGTCAACAACCACTGCTCACTCTGAGATACTGTTGTGAATTCATAATGATTGATGGAATAACCTGTCCTTAATGGGACAGGTTTCCAAGATTTCCCTTTTGCTTCTAAAGAAAAGGTCCCTTCGTTTCCTTTCCTTCCTATCTTTCATCTTCTGATTGGTCCCCTTTGCTTTTTTCTTTTTAGTAAATCCAGGAAAGGGACAATCAAGTGACAGTTATAATTTCGAATGAGCTTTGAGATCCAGAGTCTCCATGTTTGCTTTATTTTTATACCTTGTTGCAGGGTTAGGACCAGGGTGAGGCAAGCAAGGCATCTAAGGTGCAAAGTTTAATAAGGAGGTCTCACTCTCAGGGTCCTGGGCTTTGCTTGCCTCCCGCAGTCCCAGCTCTACCCTATGGAGTGGGCCAAAACATACCAAAGGAAAGGAGACATTAAAAAGTAATGTGCAAGGGTGAAACTGAAACTTTTAGATTCTAGATGGTTATGATGTTTCACCAAATTCTTGACGGAATAATGAAACGTGCTTGTAATGAAATAGATTACAAAATAATTTAACATGAGTTGGTATCTCTGGAAACACTAAGAAATATTTTTACATGAAAGATGTCTTTTGATATTGAAAAAGTATGGTTCAGGTTCCATTTCACCAGTTTCTTTAATTTAGAAATGTAATTTAAAACGACATCCTCAAAATATCACTGTATTTTGACACATTAAAAATGGCTACTAAATAACAAATAAAAATTAAAAAACAGATTACCACTTATATGTGTTTTTTTGGGGGGGCTGAAATATATCTATTTACTGAAAGATATAGAAATGTTTGACACATTTCAAAATGAAATGGTTCCTTCTACATAGCTTGGACTGTGTTAATCCAAACTATCAAATAACCAGTTTAATTACTAATCCCTACATCTCAGAATTCAAGCCAGTTACCAAAGATGATCAAACAATAATCAGATCAGCTGTACACATGAGCACAGGACCTCTCTCTTGGCTCTTAGTATGTGGAAGAAAGAAAACTTAAATACAGTTTATGGTATTGCCCAAGTAGTTCCAAGTAGGGGCCCTTTCTGACCATGTTGTACATGGTACCCAGAACTCTGTGTGGTATTTATTTGAAGTGAATAAATACGTAATGGTAATATTCAGTACAAAAAAACCATTTTAAGTAAAATTATTGTCAGTCCCACATAATTTCAATGTCAAATTTCAATGTGAAAGCTATCACATTAAACATAAGTGTATGGTTAAACACAGTTAACACAGAGTTAGTAAACATACAGTCGTTAAGACTAAGTACCAAGTATGACTATCCAGGTTAAAATACTTACAAGTCCTGTAAAACCAAGATGGGAGGAGAGATTCCCACCATTCATCTGGTGAGCAGAATAAGAATTTAGATTTACTCACTGGAGCATATATACTCCAATCCTACTCGGGGTTCAGCATCTTAGACTCAGTTAATGATGTTCCATTTGAAACATGGAAAAGTCAACTCACTTTCCTGTGCCTGAACTGCCCTTCTTCTGTAGAGATAATGGGATTTACAAATATAAAACAAAGCCAATTTATTCATACTTATGCTACAGAAGAAGCAGAAGAGTATAAATAAATGTAGAAAATCTAATGCCAATGAAAGCAGGGAAAACAGCACAAGTTCATTTTCTGACTTGGTCACTCAAATATAATAAAAAATGAACATATTCATTTACTTATGTAACAAATCATTATGGAGGCCCTAGTATTTGCCAGGCACTTTGTGTGAATCACTGGGTATTGAATAATGAGTAAATTCACAGACATGTTCTCACACACTCATACACTCATAGCCACTGTTTATCATGAAAGTTAGCAAAATCCTCACAGTATTAGACATTCACATAAATATGAAACACCTCCTTCTTGATAAAATTCTTCCCGGACAGGAAGCTCTGAAATCTAACAAGGTCAGAAAAAAAAACACACAGGTTTTACAGAGAACAGGGTTGAACCATGAGTAATGTGCTGGTCTGTAATGTGGCTCTGAAGTCTGCTTATGTAATCCTGCAAAACTGCAGTTTGTATGGTTCTCTCTTCTTGATGTTGAGGTAAGCTAACAGGCTGGCATCGACCACAGCTTTGGCTGCATTTTTGTGCATTTATTCTCAAACTTTGTAGCACATATGCCAATCTTTAAAACTCCTTTAGCTCACTGGAGGAACTCAAGTCTTAAGTGAGAAAATAGGTTCCACCAAAATTATTACTTCATATAACTTAAAGTTAAACATGAAAATTCTGGCTAAGATGATCTTGTTCAAAAATTTCATGTGCTTTGTAAAAATTTCTCAAATCACTTCTTGGGATCTTAAAAAAATCCAGGGCTATAGTGCAAAGGGAAGTAAGTGGTATTTTTAGCAGCCTTGTGTCTTCCCATTGTGGCAGAATAAGAGCACATCATGAATGTTATGTGCATCTTTGATTTATAAAGTCAGAGTACAGCTTAGGCCTCTGGGCCAATATAGATAATTAAAACGCTGCGAAATGAAATTTTTGATTTACTGTAATTACATTGAAACATCATCATAATTAAGTTCATTTTTCAAGAGACAAGGACTGCACTCATGATATTCAAGGATAGCACATGCACAAAGCTCTGATGCCAAAGAACAAGGAATCAATGATTTCTTTTGCTGCTTTAACCAAATAATATCAGAGAGCCAGGATCCAGAAAGACCTCCTATAGTCACGGAGGCATTGTAGACAGATGCGTGTCTCATTTCTTACTAATTGTTTCAGAAAAATGGCCCCAGAGGATTATCTCAGTGTTTAGACACTCTCACTTCAGAAGCTCTCCCCCAATATTCTAACCTAAATCCAAGGAACTGCAACTTGTACTTTTTCCCTTGTTCTTTCCTACTGAAGAAACAGTGTTGATTTTCCCAGACTAACCCACTGCACCTCCCTTAACTGCCTTCATAGGTCTGCTTTACCTGCTTTCTTCCCGTATTATCTCCTAAGGTTTAGGAGATTCAAAGATGGATTAAAAAAATCACTTTATCTTTACTAGTCTTATAAATCTTTCTGTATATCTGGAGCATTTTCACTAGAAGCTATCCCCGTGAAAGTGGCTTCTGATTCTGCAGTAACATTGAGATTTTGAAAGATAAAGTTGTGGTAAATGAACAAAAAAGTCAGGTAAACAAATCCAATTTTATCTTTCAGAGGAAGTCACATATCGGATCCTTAGATAAGTTCCACTTGTGTTTAAGAGGCACAATGTAAGCTCTGAGCTACCTGACTGTCACCTATCAACCATGCACCACACATAAGGGCAATGGCACTGTGAGACTATCACACCTCCTTTCATTTATGGGTCTTAATGTATCTCAGTATCACTGAAGCAAATTAAAGAATCCGTGAGAGTCAAAACTGGTTTAAAATTGTAACATAGTCTTGTTTTTTCCTTTAGCAAATAAATTAACTGAAATAAACAAAGCTGAACACTTAGTTTTTTAACTAAATAAAAAACATTTAGTAAATCAGAATCAACCTGAAGAATTCATAAGGCAACGTGGTATTGTAAGACTGAGCACTTTCCATAAGCAGATTAATAAGACTTCTCTGAGCTGATGCCTATGGTCTTAGAGACCATCAATGATAGCATGGTTATTTGGAAAAAATGAAAGTATAGATAATAGCAGGAAAAGACCCTCCATTTGGTATGTGAGAGAGATGAACTACTTAGTTTGTCTCTCTTTCTATGCACTCTGCACTCACTAAAAAGCTGCAAAGCTATAAATCTGGTGGATGCCTTTAGAGAAACTATACTTCTACATCAGAGAAATTCCCAGTGGCCTTAAATAAGAAAAGTAAGAAAGACAGAATTCTCTCAGGTTTTGTCTATTCTATTAAATAGCTTATTAAAATCTACACTAGTAAAATGTATTTGATTATATTTCTTTAACAAAAAGTTCAATTAAAAATTGTGGTTGATTTCAGTTTTCTTTAAATATTTCATTAAAACCTGATAGAAACATAAATCAAGTCCTATTCTCCCCAGTGTGTGGAGAAGAATAAATGCTTGTTTCCAGGGTGACAATATCCACACAGGAGGCCCCTGGCTAGAGTCAACAGCAGTGAAGGGAAAGAGAATTTGCACATACTGTAAAAAGGGCACACATTCGTTCTATCTTCTCTGGGTTCCTTGGCCCACCATTCTTGTTCAGTCTCACCAGAAACCGCTCACTGAAATGTAGGAGAGAGAGACAGAGAAATGTAAGGGACCACATGCTCCAAAACAAATAAAAAGGGCATTTATAGAGAAACCCTAAACACTTTCAGACAGCTCATAGTGACAGGCAAGGCCAAAAGTACATGTCTAATGGCAGGACACTATTTTTCTTGCCAAGCAGCATGCACTGGACACTATAAACTACCTAACAGCTGTTGTTTATTTGCTGGTTGTGGCTCTTCTCTCCCTAAAGGTGTGTGCTCCCTGAGGGGCAAAATGAAGATAGTATCTAGTATTTTTTTCCAAATACACCCAAAGCTCCAGTCATAACTCTAAGCCCATAACAAACATACACATTCTCTGATTGAACCATGGATCATAAAAATGTTCATCATACTAGAGCCAAAAGAACCTACATTACCCAGTTTACGTCTTCCTATAAAAATCTTAAGAATAATTTTAGTACTAAAAAAAATGTTATAGGGACTTACAAAAATTTGGGCAAAAAGTCAAAGAGAAATAATGTATTATAACTAAAGTTACCATCGGCATTTAATGGGGTCATTAAAATATTTTATTCCTCAAACAACACAGTTATTCCTTAATTCCTGAAGGAAATTACTGGATTAAAAAACCTGAGACAGAGTGTTTGTGACATCTGGAGAGGTGTCTCTTCACTCTCTCACTGTAGCCTGCTCCTGCCCAGGCTGTTTCCCACCTCTTCATCCCAAGGCTCCCCACCAACTGCAACAGGAAAACTGAGCCATGGCAAAGACTAAGTATGTGATTCTAATAGTAATTTATTTCTTCTGTGCCCACAGTCATGTACTCACTACATACATGTGGTATCAGTAAAAAGGTAAATATTAAAATATTGTACTAGAATTAATATCAACTTCATAGGTTGCTTACTTTGTTCATGTATTCATCTGTTCATTTAGTCAACAAATAGTTGTTAAATTCTGTGTGCTAAACATGGGAATACAAATGGGAACAAGATACATACAAGGTACTTTTTTTCATAAAGCTTGTGGTCCTGGTAGACAATTAAATATGCATAAATGAAGCTGAGAAATTATTTGGGCCAGATGTAAACTTGAGATTTTTTTCAGCCAGGGGATTGGATGGGAATAAGGAGAAGATGTACACAGAAGGAGAAGAAAAAAAACGGCTTTGGTTGGAATCCTGAGGGACATTGATATTTAGGAAGTAGGCAAGAGAAATACAGCTAGCAAAGTAGACAATGGGGACAAACAGAAAAACAACAAAAATAAGGAGGATGGTGGGATGTTATGTCAGTCAAGGAAAGAAAATGTCCAAAAGAGGAGGGAGGGATCATTGAGGTCAAAGGCCATTGAGAATCAAATGAGCGAAGCACAAGAGTGTCCCTGACAGTTCAGAAAAGAGACTAATGTGATTCTTGCAATAACTGTTTTAGTGGAATGGTAGAGAAAGAGCCCAGTGTGAGAAGTAAGAAGTGAGAAGGCAGAAACAGTGAGTCTAGACTACTCTTCAGTGAAAAACTATGAAAAGGTGGAAGTGATGAATTTATAGCTGAATGGGCATGTTGGGTTGAGGGAGGTCTTTATTAACATGTGTACACACACACACACACACACACACAAACAATTATCAATAAAGGCACCATAATTCATCAAAGGAGCATAGTAATTTCAACAAATCGTGCTTAACAATCTATATGAAAAAAACTAAACTGTGATCCTTGCCTACAACGCAATTAACTTGAATGGATCATAGACCTAAATATAGGAGCTAAAACTATAAAACTGTAAGAAGAAAACACAGGAAAAAAATGAAGACAAGTACATTTTTATATTTTACTCACATTTATTATTTCTATATTTAGCATTAAAGAAAAATATTTGTGATCTCAGATTATTAAGAAAATATCGTGAATCACAACAAAATGATAAACTGTACTTATCAAAATTAAAACCATCTTCTCTTAGAAAGATACTCTTAAGAAAGTGAAAAGACAAGCTATAGACAGAGAAAATATTTACAAACACTCATCTAAGAAAGGACTGTATGGAGAACACACTATTGAGTTCTGAGAGTTCTTTATAAGTAATAACTCAATTTAAAAATGAACAAAATATTTGAACAGATCTTCACCAAAGAACATACAGGGATAGCAAATAAGCTTAAGAAAACATTAATCATTAGAGAAACAAACATTAAGCACAGTGAGGTACCACTATACACCTATTAGAATGGCTAAAACTAAAGATTAGATACACAAAGGACTGGTGAGAATGTAGAGCAACTAGACCTCTCATAAACTGTTGAGGGAAATACAAAATGGTACAGCCACTTTAGAAAATAGTCTGAGAGTTTCTTATAAAGTTAAACATATTACATGACCCAACAATTCTACTTTTAGGTATTTACTCAGCAGAAATGAAAACTTATGTCCACACAAAGACCAAAAGTGAATATCTGAAGCAGCTTTATTCCTAATAGAAACTGTAAAGAACCCAAATGTCCAAAAGGAAATGATTGGACAATCCATATAATGGAATATCCACACAATGGTGGATTATATATATATATATTATATAAAATATATATTTTTATTTAATAAAATATATAATTTTATATTAATAAAAATATATATTACTTCACAATAAGAACTACTGAGATATATAATAATATGGATGAATCTCAAAAATGTATGCTAAGTGAAAGAAGCCAATCAATCACAAAAGACCATATACTGTATATCTTCACTTATAATCTAGAATAGGCAAAACTGTAAGGATGGAAACCAGATCAGGAGTTGCCAGGGTTGAGGAAGGAGGGCAGGGATTGACTGCAAAGGTGCATGAGGGAAATTTCTGGGGTGATGAAAGGTTCTACTTCTTGAATATGGTGGTGGTTTCACAACTATAAATTTGTCAAAACTCATCAAAGGATGTATTAAAAAGAGTGAATTTTACTACATGCAAATTACAGTTCAACAACCTGACTTCAAAAAAAGATGGGATGCACCAAAGGACACTTACTTCTTTTTTTAAAAATTGTTTTTTAATGTTTATTTATTTTGAAGGAGAGGGAGTCCGAGCACAAGCAGGGGTGGGGTAGAGAGAGAGAGGGAGACACAGAATCCAAAGCAGACTCCAGGTACTAGGCTGTTAGCACAGAGCCCGACACAGGGCTCAAACTCATGAGCTGTGAGATCATGACCTGAGCTAAAGTCAGATGCTTAACTGACTAAGCCACCCAGGCACCCAAGGTAACTTATATTAGGACAATGTTAGAAGAAGATGAGATACTGAAGACAGAGGAAAGACAGAAAATAATTGGCAAAGGAAAAAAAGGTTCCCACGTCCTAGAAGAACTGAGAGAATCAAGGAAAGAACCCAGGAGGAAACAACAGGTGTAGATACAAATAAGTTTGTAGTTTTAGTAATGGAAAGTTGAAGCTTATCAGAGAAACAGGAAACAAGCACATCAAAGTAACATTTTTCTGTTATTGTAGTTGATCTATCCCAACATGTGTATAATGCATTTAACAACCACCCAGTTAGCTCTTAACTTGATACAGGAGTATAAATGTATTTTTAGGAAGTTTATGTCTTTTCAAGAGAACGTATCATTACTTCTGCATCTTTGAAGGAACACCTGCAACGGCTATACTCTCACACTACCAATCTGTGAATCTCTCAAGGGCAGACGTCTATCAGGGAGGTTGCTGTTGGGAGCTGCTAGATACCCACAGAGAGGTGTGTCGTTTGGAGAGGCTACATCAAGCTCTGGTCCAAAGATAAAAGGGTATATAAAACAAATTCCTGAGTGGCAGGGTTGCTGGTCCTATCAGAATCCAAGAACTTATCTTTCTCCTCAACAGTGAGAGGAGGCCCGAGTTCTTATAGTGCCCACATGACCTTCAAATTTCCTAGAGCCTTTCATGCTTCTGGTTTCACCTAGCCTTCTTCACAATTTGTGAAAAAAAGAACTGTTTTTTCATTTCATGGAGCTTTGGGAATACATCTAATTGTTTCCTGTTTTGCTAGCTTCTCAGGTATGATAAACAAATGATGCTTTCTTTTTTTAAAATTTTTTATTTAATTTACTTTTTAAATTTACATCAAAGTTAGTTAGCATACAGTGCAACAATGATTTCAGGAGTAGATTCCTTAATGCCCCTTACCCATTTAGCCCCCCAACCCCCACCCCCCACAACCCCTCCAGTAACCCTCTGTTTGTTCTCCATATTTAAGAGTCTCTTATGTCTTTATCCCCTCCCTGTTTTTATATTTTTGCTTCCCTTCCCTTATGTTCATCTGCTTTGTATCTTTAAGTCCTCAAATGAGTGAAGTCATATGATATTTCTCTTTCTCTGACTAATTTCACTTAGCCTAATACCCTCTAGTTCCATCCACGTAGTTGTGAATGGCAAGATTTCCAAATGATGCTTTCTATTAACATTCAAAGTATCTGAAGGCAAATATCTATCCAATGTTTCCTGAAGTGGTCAAAAAAGCGGGAAATTCTGAATTAAATACAGTTAAACAGGTGTCTATCCTCTAGGACTTCACAGAGGCTTAAAATGTTATATGTTTTAAATACCAAGTGGGACAGGTGACATTTGACCCCACAAGCTGCTTTTGTGTAAGGCAAGGGAATCTGTACAAACAAAGTTTGATAAATGCTGATCAAATCTATTTGCCAACCGGAGCTACAGATTTCCCAAAGGTATGAAAGGAACTGTGGCCAAAAGAGTAAAATTTATTCTTGAGGTTTTACAAACATCTTCTATAAGAGAGCAAAATATCAGGTTTTCCCTTAAATATGGGTGAGAAAACTCCAATTCTTTCAAAAGAAAAAAAGAGATGGTGTTAAATTCTTACTGTTTAATAAGCAACATTATAAGAGAGCTTCTCTGCATTTAGTTGTCTTTATGATAAGCTATGCATGAATAGTATATGAAGCTACATTAATTTCATAACTTCACATTATTGAGCAAGTTGCTACAAATGAATTCCATAATTTGAATCTGTGACAAGTCTACTAGTGTCTTAATTTTAATATCACTTGATTT